AATCAAAATAAAAGTAAATGGTGTAGAATTTTCTCGAATGGGTGGCAGTACTTACTCCTGTAGGAAGGTAATACTCGTAGGGTTAAGCATAGGTCAGTCTGTTGTCAATAGGAAATGCCAATATCTGAGAGAGCTCAACTATTGGGCAGACATTCTGCGGCAGGAAAGCGCTCAGCAAGAGTTGTTTTACCCGAAATATATTAAGTGGTTAGAAAGCGGCAATTACCCTAAAGGTAATCTTTAATAGAACATCTTTATCCATTATTCGTTCTTGAGTATTTTCAATTTTCGCAATGGCGCTCATATGATTTTCCAGCGAAACTCAACACATCGGAAAAAGCACTAGTGTACCAAAGGTTTGGCTTTTATTTTATATGCTGCAAAAAATCATATGCAAAGTTAAACAGAGAATGTAAAATATTCTAAGAAACTGTACAAATGCTGATGGCGCCGATGATATTGACAAGACGAAATATCCATCGTCTCCAAACGAGTCATTCTCTACTCGGCACCTACTTCACTGTTTACAGCCAAAACTTTGAAGTAGCAGATAATTGCGTCTGTCTAGAAACCAGCCCTAACACCAACAACAATTTCAGCCTTGAAATCCAACTCAGCCAACAGGTGCTACTTTGGACCAAACGGGAAATTGAAAAGTAAAGTCCTCACTAGATGAACAATAATCAATTCCAGCAAGTTCCTCATTATTCCAGTCCTGCAATGAGATGGTAAGAGTTGGCACTAGGAGCTATGAGCTGTACGGAATAGATCGTGATATTGACATAGTCCACCGAATGAGGTGAGAATATTCCAGCTTTGAAAATATTCAATGCAATAATACCCGTCGGTGGAAGCAGAGGAAGAAGTATATTTTCATTTCGTTGATAACATCACGTGAAGAAAGGCTTAAAACTAAATTTTCTTGAATTGAAACTGAATAAATAAGTTCAGATAGGACCGCAGTTTATGAACTTATGACAGGTAGTGACTTTTAAAAGGACACCGCAATGAGAAATGTAACAGTGCCAGCTTATTTCTGGGCAGAAAAAATCTTCAAATCCCACGCAGACCACTTCTTCTGAAGCAACAGAGAAGACAAAGAGTGTCATATCTCTTTTAATTTCATCTGTAAGCTCGCTACATTAACGTGGTAAATAACAAGAGGATATTTAGTCGCTTCAATAAATTGAGTTTTGTTAAGAAGCATAATATCGCTGGCTCCAAAATAAAAATGGCAATGCATTAAAAGGGTACAGATTTGCATCACTATGTGAGCAAGTGCTTATAATTGACCCAAAGGAACTTATAGCCATTTTATATACCCCACAGTGCATACCAAGCGACTGGAAGGGGAATATGAATCACAAGCCGTCGACATTGCTTGCAGCAGCTAAATGTTGCGTGCGTGCATACTTTTAAACAAATCTATTTTCAATATTGTATTAGCAATCAGCTGAGTCTGCTTTACGTAAAAAAACAAATCAAATCGCCGCTGATTTCTAAGGGATAAATGTCAGAAGCGGCATCCGCAAGCGCCAATTTAATTTACATGGCGCTCTCATAAGATAGGGACAGCTGAGTCGCAACAATTTTCACATAGAACGTATTAAGAAAAGAAATATTCATAAGACCAAAATACAAGGACAAAACGAAAAACATTTTCAAGAGATTGCTGCGCTTCTCTTGTCAAACAACAATAATTACTACTCCTTCCAGTTGAAGCCTCAGTTGACTCAAGTGATACTTAAAAGAAGGTCAAGAAGAGAAAAAGTTCAGTCGTAATCATTAATATAAACAAAGTACAGCTGCGTCAAGCTCAGCTCAACTTACGAAGAACGAAACACATACAATTCAAAGCTAAAATTATTTTTCACCCTACAGAATCGTGGTTTAAGAGCCACTCAAGCGAAATGGCTCCATGCAATGTACAATACAAACTGTCAGCAATTTGGTCACACAAAATCCTTCTGATAGGATTTTAACCATTCCAGCAAGCGCCCCTTAAATAAAACGGAGGGATTACCAAAAAGTATAGCAATTGCGTTGGTAATCTCAAAGCTAAATACAGAGGTTGTCCGGTTTACAAAGACTTAAAATGTAAACTTCTTCAAGTATACACGTCAAATGCAACCAATTGCCACGAACTACTTCTCTTAAGGCACTTTCTAACCTACCCCAATCAAATACTGCGCTAATGACCTATGCCAACGAACTAAAAGCCAACGAAGAGGGCCAGTAGGCACTCCTCTGTCAAACCCACTGCATTAAACAATTTATGTCAGCCATGTAGAGTACGGGCCCTGACCTAATAAAAGCTCCAAACCAAATGCCTTTAAACTGGACGGCGAAAAAACTTGATATTTCAGGATTTGTAAATGGTAAGCTAATGCTGTAATTCGGCATAAATTAGTACTCGAATTATTATAATTTTACAGATTCCCGGCACGACACTAATAGATATAATTTTTTATGTTTCTGGGTTTAAGTTTTACAGCTTTAATCAGCCCAGATAGCAAAGCACATGGTGGTAGATACAGCCGTACTCATTAAGAACCGTTTAAAGCACAGTTTCCTTTACTCTTTTGCAACAAACTGGATGCAATCAACTTCGATCCCTCTTAAAAATAGACTGGTTGATCTTACTTTGGTTACGTCTTACGTTCCGCCGCGCTTTGTGATAACAGAAAACCAATGTAATGACTTTTTCATTGGCACTCAGGACACATAAACCCAAACCCGCCGATATAACCTGATTTGATTGACTTTGCTTTCACTACGTAGATACGATTTAGTGTTTGTCGAAGGCAGTGCTGACTTATCTTCTGAACGAACAATCAATTGACAAGGAGTGTGCTTTTCTACTTACGACATTCAGGACTAACTGGCTTAAATATAGAATACATATAGGAAGTCAATTCCAGGAGAACAATTATAAAATATAGGGAAGAACTGGTATTGATAAGGAGTTATTTGTATTGGGTTATCCATTTCTTGGTTTCAAAAGTACAGGGCTGTTTTTTTTTAGTTAAAATTTAGGCTTTCATGAAAATTGATCACTTAACATTTAAAAAAAAAAACAAGCTACAAGAACCTACCACAAAACAACGGTGAGATTGCTGTCAATTCGGAGTGTTATAGTCGTATGACAACCGACTACAATTGAAGAAAACCAATTGTCCAATATGTGGTTTCAACAAGATGGTTCCACATGTCATACAACATGGGTGAATATGGCTTTCCTGGCCGCGGAATCTTTCATCTAGTCGTTGTCAATTTCCTATCCAGATAGCACGATTTGAAACCGTTGGACTTTATTTGTTAAGCTACACGAAAGATTGTTTATGCGGATAAACGTTTTTCTCTTGAGCACTTGAAACCCAATATTTGTCAAGTTATGGCCAAGGTTACCGAACCATACTGCTCCTAGATACACTAACACTTGTGGATACCATGTATAAAAACTGAAAAATTTTATTACCGCCTTAGATAAAAAAAAATTTCGACTTTATTATCACACCATAAATGCTAAACGAATTATCAAGTATTGCATTGGGAGAGGGATATTATCCACAAATATGGAAAAAGTCACAGATAATTGTGAAAGCTAAACCAGGTAAAGAAGCAACGTTGCCATCGCATGGTATAGCTTGATGGTCTCATCCATAAAATTAAACAATCATTACCTAAGAGGCTCCACAATATCCTTGAATATTCACTATTAAAGTAAACAAATGTGATAGGTGTTCCGGTAGGTAGTGTTCTTGAACCAATATACAATAGTATATTTTGTTCATCGCAGATATTCCTAGAAGTGACAAAATAATGACGTCGACTTTGCGAAAGATATTGCTGTAATAAGTCATTACGAATGACCCATAAGAGCCACTAAAGTGTTAGAACAGAACAAGCTAACGAAATTACATGTCTTGGCATTCATTTGGATATATGATTATCTTGGAGACGACACATATCAGCCAAAAATATACAACTGAAGCTTAAATTCTTCAGTATGTTTTCGCGTTTAAGTAGGAAATCAGTGACCAGCCTTGCACGACGAATATTGTTATAAGTCAAAGGTTCTAATCGAAAACAAACGGGCACACCAAGGTCCATGCGTAATGAAAATATCCATGAATATCTAAGTACAAGCAGAAGAAATAGAAATCGTTACTCAAAACTACGTTGCAAAACTATACAATTATCCCAAGCTTTTGACTATCACTTTGGCCTCCGCAACAAGTCAAATGCGCCTGAAGAGAAGAGACCTACTAACTTGTAAAGAGTAACACTGAGCCCACAGCCCATTCCTAGCCAATGAGCTATTATATTTAAAAAAATCAGCTTTACCTTAAAACAAAGCGTGCATAAACATATATAAAGAGTGATTTTTTAAGAGCTATGGGAAAGTTTTTCAAAAAAACACTTTAAGTGTTCAGAAAATTGCACGAAATCTTCTTTCGAATCGATAGTACGTTCCATATAATTTAATATTTGAAGATCATTTCATGCTTTGGCGCTTTGTAACCGCTGAAGTGATGTTCGACCGATCTCCAATCTGTGATTTTGCGTCTTGATGTTTTTGCAACAAATGGAGGGACCTACAGTTTATACTAAGCCGCCTCCGAACGGTTGATGGTTTTTTTATGAGGAGCTTTTTATTTTCATGTCAATTTGAAAATTTAGCTAAATTTTTTTTTTAAATTAATTTTTATAACTTTTGGATGTTGGTCCCACTGGGATTTGAACCCGAGCCTTCCGAATGGCAGCACGTAATGCTAACCACTCGGCTACCGCGGCCGCCAGTATGTGTTAATAATGGTTAAAATATGGGCGAGTGTTTGATAAATTGAAAGATTTTCAAGATACTTCATTTAATAGCATTGATCACGTGACTAATATTCGGTTTCACTATTCATTCAGCAGAATACATTATCCTTATTAATTATATATTTATTTATGCAGTTGATTGAATTTATATAAACTTAAGTTGTGTGACTTACCTGAAAAAATAGCGTGAACGCCACCCATTGGTAATATTTTGTATGCTTTATTGTAAGAGGACCACGACCCTGTGAATTGTGCACCCCAGGAAAAGGCACCTCGGAACCTTGCTTTTTCATAAAAGCGTCCACCACTGTATATGTTGAGTGTATCCAACAATATGTATTAAGAACATCTTCGGGAATGTCTCTGCAGGTCGCAACAATTGAACATATAAAATATACATACATATATAGATTAATAGAGTTTGTAGTGCTGGAAATTATATCATGCATGGGTGACAGGTATTCGCATCAAAGAGAGGAGTCGAGATGTAATAAACGTTTTAACTCGCTTGCCATTTACAAATAATTGCAGAAGCAACGTTTATTACTTCTCAAATTCAAAACTAACAAGATATCCTCCTTGACTAGGAAACAGTGCATTTTAATTATAATTTTTTCATTAATTGTTTATGTATCTAACGCTGTGTTAACTTAAAATAGTGCAACATTATATATATGTGTATGTACGGATTTATGATCATAACATAAATCGATAAGTCTGTAATTGTGTGGATTATACTCTAGTTGGGTGGGGGTGTGTACCAGATAGAAAAGTATTTGTAAAATAGATAAGTGGAATGCTGTAATAGCCTATACGATCCTACCTTGTATGTACACAGTCTATGGGATTTCCTACGTACTGCCGCGTCGTAACAGCAATCGAGAATGTTATTAGTAAAATAACAGTTGCATTGGTGTGTAGGCGAAAAACAGGTGAATCGATTTTGACATGAGACACCTTTTGGGTGGTAAAAGTTAAAATTGTTGCACAACAATTTGTACCAGTTCCAAATTCCAATCGCAATCACATTGGCGCGCAATGGCAATTGCAATACATCATTCGATGGATGTTGCGGCGCGCGATGAGGTCAATAGCATACACAAAATTCGACGTTGACGTCATCAGTAGCAGCAGAAGCAAAGTCCGTTTTCAACAAGCGCCCACCCACCACAACGAAGTAACGGAGTGGGAGCCAGCCGCAACGCAGATGGAGGCGCAAGTAGCGACGATGGTAGTATTAAAAGAACCATGGCGGGTTGTCCACAATTGATTTAGATTTTTTGTTTGTTTTTTTGTTTGTTTGTAGTTTTTCGTTTCGTATCGTTGGGAAATGATTTTGTTTTTGTTTGTTGTTAGCGCAGCAAAATTGGAATTCAATGCGTTTTCAATATCATTTTGAGTATTCATGGTTATGATAATTTCATTTCATTTCGATTACATTCGTTTCATTTTAATTTGATATCGGTCCCCAATTACCAGGCGATAGACCAACACGATTGCCAAGTTGTATAAGCAGACCCGCAGGTCAGTTTTTGTATTGGTTGGTTGGTCGGAGACCGAGTCGAAGTCGGAGTCGGAGTCGGAGCAGACGGATGTGTTGGATAGTTGGTGTAGAGGATTGAGGTAAAATTTTGTTGCGAAATACAAAAAAGAATTCATGTTATTGAGCGAAGATCTTTGATTGTTTGATTTATGAATGAAATGCAATGAATTTAAAAAAAATCTAAAATTAAAAGTACAAATATGGTATTTTAAATTATGGATACGACTACGTACTTTACATAATAATTCATAAATAATTGTTAAGTCAACGCCAAAATATATTAATACGTATTACATAATAGACGCAACAATAATCGCAGTAATAACAAGTATTACATAATAATAATAATTACCGCCAAAGTTCAGAAATACATAAGTACATATTTATAAATACTTTAACTTCAATTTGGTAACAACAATGAAGCAATAACTGAACAAATTATTTGAACCAGTAGGAGGATTGCTTTGGAATGAAACTTCTTGTTAAATTATTGCCAGCTGATGTTTTGAATTACTATGTTCAAAAATACTTTAATTTCGATATTTTTATGTAAAAATACGCATGTATTGACGTATGTATTTAAATATATCAGCGGATTGGATGATATCAAATATATTATATAAAATAATTAAATACATATTTACATATAAATACATAAATATAAAAGAGTTAGTAATCAGTCGTATATGTAATTCACTTGGACCCTGTTTGTACCTCGTATTATCGTATTATCGCCAATCGCATTGATTCAATTTAAATGGGTTGCTGCTACAAAAATTATTTTATTGATACGATAGTACAATGGGTTTTGTGAATTAGTTGTTTTTGTTTTTTAGGTGTGTACAATTTTGTTAGGCAGGAAGGTTTTCAATTAATTATAATATATGCAAGTAGGTTTTTTATGTAATACCAAAAAATAGATAGATATGTTTTTTTTTATATTTTACGTGGTATTAAGCAATAAATTCGATATACATATGAATTTTTAATAAAACTTAACATTGTAGCTCAATAATGAGTTTTTAAATACTTTCTCCTCTTTTTACTGAATATTTCTTCTACTTTTTGTTGTTGAATTAAACAAAATGACTGAGAATTTTGCGTTATGCTATTTTATAATTGATAAGAAATTTGTGGTAAATATGTTTGCGAAGTTGAGATTTGGAATGTTAGACGAATTATGTGCGTTTGTAGGAATGCAAACTTTCTTCTCGAATATAATTTAAAATTATACAATACTAAATGCTTGTTAAATGCATTTTAATCTCCATTTTTTGTGTACAGTGACTACAAATATATCAAAATACCAAAAAATTTTCGTTATTGATTATTTGGAAAACATTTTTGAATGGATTTTTAAAGTAAAAATCACACAGTACGAACATTTTTATACAGAACTTAATCCTTTCCTTTTCATTTATTTAATCGGGAAATGCACATATAATATCAAAAAAATCTGAATATCACCTATCACATCTACAATAGATATTTGCAAAATTTTGTTATAGTAAAAATGCATCTATTAGTTTTGCAATATATGCTTTTGTGAGCTATATCTCGCATTCTATAAATTATAAAAATGATATTTTGTACTAAAAAATGTCACGGGATAACTCAGTAGTAAAACACGCTGTATTTTACAATTTTTCTTCGATGAATTCGAAAACGGAAGTCATTCATCTGTAAATATGATTAGCGTTTATGGTCCTGATACTGTCACAATTAACCATGTACAATTTCGATGGAAATGATGGAAATCGTCAAGTCTAATCATCATGCTTTTATTCCTCAAGTGATAAACAAAATCAGACTGGAACCGTTTGAAAATGGCTGGATACAGAAATAAGATCGAGACGGCCAGCTTTGGCCAACAAGAGGGAAATTATGTTTCATCAGAACAATGGAAGACCACACATATCAGTAGTGACTCGCCAGAAGATTCAAGAGCTTGGTTGGATGATTTTTATGCAAAAAGTTATAGAGCAAAACGGTGGATAATTGACATGAATACGATGATTTCAACTATGGTAAATAAAGTCTTCAATTTAATGCAAAAATAATGTATGGAAATTTCTAATTGCGACCGCTCCTCGACTGAGAATGTCAAGAGTGTATTTTTAACATGAAATAAAAGCTCCTCATAAAGATCGAACAGCTGTTCGGAGAGGGCTTAGTATAAACTGTAGGTCCATCCATGTTGTTGGAAGAGCATGAAAACGCATTATATACATATTTATGTACATATATACATATATAAAGATTTTAGTTGAATTTTTGGACTGCATCATAAAATTCTATTTTCAAGCTTAGCTCAGGGCGTGAATTTAATAACACTTTTTGCTCATATTTTATTTTATTGATGTCCAAATTTAAAATGATTTTGTTGCTCCCATTTTCGTCCGTGTAGACCGTTACCTTCCAAAATTCATTAATTATAAATTGTGCCAAATATAGACTGCGGACCAATCTTTTTATGTGTGACGGCTCTGCCTTAAAATTAATAGTTGTATACCTCATTAGTTGAATGTAACCCATTATCCCCAGCTGGATCCGCTTCTGCAATTAAAAACCGTTTTCTTTTTCTACAAAGGGCAGGCATAAATAATAAAGTAATAATAATTTAACTTCACTTGCCCTTATGTACATACTATGTAAATATATCTATAATTTTGCTTGTATTACAGATTTTTTTCTTTTTTATTAAACTGGAGATTAAAATGCATATATATGTATGTAGGTCTCTGAACATTTATATAAGTACTTGTACTATGTATACTATCAACACGAATATTGAAGTAAATGACTTTTCGTTAGATGTTAACGAATGACTGAAATTTAAATCTTAAAGTATCTTTATGTTTAATTTTACGAATAACGATGACTGAATCGATATTTTATTGATTTCTATTGTTTGCCATATGACTTATTTTTGCCAAATAAACAGTTTTCAATTAAAATTAATTACAATTATGAAATTTCGATAATATATGTAAATAAATGTCTGTTTTTTTTTTAATTTTATTTGATTTAGTTTATTTGTAAAAATTATTTAATTGAAGTTTTTAATGTCATTTCAAATTGTACTGTGATTTGAATGTGAAAAGTGAGCGGTGAGCAGTGAGGAGTGAAAAGTGAAATTGTGAGTCAAATTCAAGTTAATCAAGTGAGCGTGAATTGGTCTCAAATTAAAGGTGACTTAGCATTAAAATTGGATTTTGTTGTTGGTAAATTAGTTGTGAATTGTGAGCATATTCGAACTAATTTTAACCTTTATTTCGTGAATTAGAAACCATTTTTTTTTTTAACTGAATGTTGTGCCCTAGTAATATTCAGTGAGTTCAGTGAGGTGACCTTGTGATTTGACAGTGAAATATGTGAGTGAGTGATTGAGTGAAGAAGAAGTGAGAAGAAGTACAAGTACAATTTAAGAGGAAATTTTATATATAAAATTATGAAAATGGAAAATTATTTAGATGAAAATAATTAGATAAAATTATAACTCTTAGTAAAATCTAACTTTCATTAACACGCAAATACCGTATTGTCTTTTAATCGACTTACACATGTAGACATTGTTTACATACATATAATGTTATTATTCTGAATTTTTTCTCAAAATAATTTAATTAAGGGTTAAAAATTGATCGTGTGTTTTTAGTTAAACTTTAACTGCTACCCATATGCAAAATAGTGTTAAAAATATTTTTTTTCTTTTAGCGTAATTTAACTTTAAACTTTGAGGACTTCAAGCTTATTGTAAAATATGTATGGATAGATGATCATCTTTTAGTTATGAAAATTCAATAAGTAAATTTAATTCTATCCAGGAGTTATTGTAGCCAACTGGCTAGTAACGTGTGCATACCCTTCTCGACAATGGAAGTTCATATCTCTGAGTATATATACACGTATATACATGAAAATTAACATTTTTGTTTTGCAAGAGATCAGAGGAAAAAACTCGCATACGAGTTTATAAAAAACTATTTAGATGGGTGATTTTAGACCTTGTAATGTATTATTAAACAACAAATTAATTCTGGAGTTTGGTAGAGCATAAATTATCTCCCAAGCTGACCAGCAGCCATTCCTTTGCAATAAGTTTGAATTCCCGTTATACTTTTTACGCAATACTTTGAACTATGTATAATTAGAAATATTTAAAAAACCATACAAAGGAGCCACGCAGTAACAGATCGGTAGCAAAACATCAACACACTTGTTTATAGTCGTTTATTTATCTTTCCGCAATAGTTAATCTCTAAGTTAAATACTTTAAATTTTAAAAGGACTTCAAAATATAATTAGTTAACAAATACTCCTGTGTAAATTCTGCAATAACTATTTACTTCACTTTATTATTTATTGATGTTTATTACCATTTATTTTTCGAGCGCTAAGACATTATTTCGCT